CCCCAAAACCCCAAAACCCCAAAACCCCAAAACCCCTCAATGATGTTATAACCTCTGAAAAGTAAAAAAATACAACTAATTAATTTATACAAATTAAATAATATAGACGATAATCCTAATAGAAATGTCAAAAGCTGAATAAAATAGTTTAATGCTAGATGTGCGTTAGACTTTGGCAGACGATCGAAGCTAATGTAATGAGACATTTTAAGCTGACACCTTGAATATTGATAATTAAGTTAAGAATTCGAAAGATGTCGCTTATTAAGCCATTCCAATAACTAGTTTAAAACTATAACATTAGAACATTATTTATCATAAGAATAGTAACTATCAAGGTTCAATTTAAGCATAGTTTAATGAAAAGAGTCAAGCCAAAAATGAGTTACTTAAACTGTGAGTCAATAATCTCAGAGCCCAGCATCATAAAATTATGACCAAAATAATGCCTAGTTCAGGTAATGAATTAATGTTTGGTCCTCTGAGTTAACAAAAAACCAATAGCCCTTTAAGGAAACAAGCTCCAAAATAATACTCTAAAAATAAAAAAAAGCGAGATTCGTCTCCTACTTCAGTTTAGTCTAAATATCTTGACAGTACATTTACAAAGAACTCCAATGCAACATTTTAAATGAATGAATATCTTAATCCTACTCTTGGGAATGAAAAAAGTACTCGTAGAAATTACTCGAATTTACGGAATTAACAAGAAACTTTTGAGAACTGAGCAAGTTCAATTATAATGAATCCTAAAATATCTGGACTGGTTGGAGTGGTAGGAGGTACTAACAATGATTACGAACTTATGAATGACGATGTTTAATTTATGGTTAGAAATAGAGCTAACTTCAATAGAAGTGTATTAGAACCCTCTTATCGGAAAAATGGAAACAGCTTTGGGAAGAGAAAAGCAAGTAAAGGCTTTCTAAATTTAGATAAACTTAGCAGCTAATATAATAAAAGCAATTAAGATTCGCTTAATTTAAGAAATATCGTAGGATATCCTTCTCCTCGAGAAAAATATATCCTTGATAAGCAAGGATAAAAGTCAAAAAACTTTTTCTTAAGTGATATCAAAGAATAATCAGACAATACATCGACCTTGCAAGATAGAGAATGCAATTTGAGTGTTTCAATGAGATTTGACAAAAAATCAGAGCTTTTGACTTAAGGATCTATAATGGGAGTATCAGACTTTCCAAAAGGAATAAAGGAGAAAAGTATTTTATCTATAGCAAGGCTAAGTGATCACAGCCCTAAAGAATTGATGAAAGAAAATAATGGCAAGCATCATAGAGCGTTAACAGATTTAGAAAAGATTGACAGGCGTTTATTTGCAAACTATGAATACCCAGCAACAGATTTTAGCAATACACAGTATCTTATTTCAAATGGATAAAAAGATAAATCCTCTAAGCAATAAAGACTTTCATCATAAAAGTAGTAAAATTGTATTCAGATAGAGAATTTTAGGAGTCAAAATTTCTAAAACAAAGGGTATTTAATGAAACTCAAACAAAGAAACATGATTTTCTAGAATTTCAACATTGAGTTTGAAAATTCTTAAAGTGATAACTATAATAAAACAAGGTATTAGGATTTACATCTGGGCAATTTCAAAGATTACAATGACTTGAATCTCTCTTTACTTATGGCATAAAATAATAGCCCTTACATGTAATAACAAAGCGTTACTCCTGAATCTGTTCATAACCGAATATCTCATTAGGGTTTAGACCGTGAAATTTTCCTTAAAAAGAGAGAATCAGGATAGAACAGTATTAAATTGGAACACGAAGTCAAACTCTTTCCTGATATCAATGAAAAATCTCAAATTTTAAATATAAATAAACTTTAGTAATCTTGATCATTCTCCTCCTATGCAATTTATACAATATTTCTATTCCAATTAATTATTTTAATAACTTATACTCTTTTCATCTTAAAATGGGGGTTTTGGGGTTTTGGGG